GTGCTCTCACTCTTGTTTGTTTTCCCACTGTGTGCCGGGGGAATTCATTGGATAATGCTGGAGGAGGGCGGGATCATCGGAATGTAAACAGTACTCCAGATGGACCTGACCTCTGCTAATACAAATGAGTCCAGCCCACTCATGACCGCAGGGGACTATAGAGCTTAGAAAATATCACTGCTCTAACCCACCACCAGGTGTCTCTCACAACAACTTCAAAAAGACAACTGTCATTTTGGCTGTTCAATTATTTAAACATTTATTTGTCAATCCTAAAGCAGTGGTTCTTAATTATTTTCTGTCATGCTCCCCCTTGAGGACAGAAATGTTTTCACACACAACCCCGATCCACACCATCGCAAATTGAAATACTATTTAGAACCTGGTAACAACTGTATGAGTTACTGCCACCTAGAGACTGGAGGTTTGTTATCATTCAAGCATTACAGCAGTGGAACATTTATGTCCAGTGTGCCATATTCCAATGGAAGCCCCCTGACGCCCCCCCGGGGGGGAGGAGTACTGATCTAAAGGAACTTTGAGGAACTTTGAGAAGTACTGATCTAAAGGAACAAGTCATTGTTTAACAAAAGTAGAAAGAGAATACTGGCTCTAAAAAGTCAGGACAGGAGCAAGGACTCAAGTAAATAAGGGTACGACCAAATATAACGATACAAAAACGTCAATATTTCTGTCGTAGGCTGTACTACTATGTACTACACAGAAAATCCCTACACCACCAATCAAAAATCTCAGAAATCATTGACTAAAATCTCCGCCTGTTTAGTTGAAGACAACGCTGATATACTGGCAGGAATTGAAGAAAGACACTCACAAAGATCCGATTATCTTTTCTTCTTTTTTTTTTTAGTTTTCATAGCCATCTGCTGTTATTTAAAGACATTTTTTTCTCCCTGATGTGAATACATTTCCACACCTATTTTGATCAAAGAAGGGAAAATTTGTTTCCACATTGTTCTAAAAAAGAAAAAAAAAAAAAGCGGCCTGATAGCAGTTGGTCTAATGTGTCTGCTCTGTGAGCTGCTGATCTGAGGGGCCACTCTGACCAACAGTTCTGGGCTCTTCTGTTACACCTCTGCTTATCCAGGCTCCTTGTTCTTGTTTACAGACTCCGACTGTGGTGTCATGTTCACTGTTACTGCAGCAACACGGAGATTATGTTCACCTCCCCATTCAGGTCTCCACTCTGGTTCCCCCAAGAAAACACTCCTCCTGTCAGCGCAGCCAGTCGACTGAGCAGACACTACAATGCTCATTGTTGGGCAGATCTAAAGGAAGATCAGTGCCCTGCAGCACAGACAAGTCTGGTACTTCAAACAAATAACCAAGAAAAGGGAAAGTTTTTGAGTTTGTTTTTTTTTTTGTTTGGCATGTTTGCAGATGAATGTGTGATATTCGTCACGGCTAAAACAAATTTATTGGTTTTCAATTGTGGCCTAAAATAATTCTAATGCAAAAAACAAAATTTTCAACAGGTGACACATGAATGCAAGGGAAATATACTGCATAATAGTAAAGCTTGTGATGTGCCAAGGTTTACCAACACACTACAGTACGCACAGCCATTAAAGTAGCCCCAAGGGTATCAACCAATACTGATCTATTCAGCCGTTTTCCCACTACAGTACGCACAGCCATTAAAGTAGATATATTCAGCCGTTTTCCCCCAAAACTGAGGTAAACATCTCAGGACCCCACAAGTGATTCCAACATGTGGCCAAACCCAGGCATTGCATCATTGGGTTTTTACTATCGGAGGAAAAACCGATTACGATTCTTACAGATATTACATAATTATCTATCTAGTCTGTTTAGTTTTATGCCAACAATCCAAAAACAAGGAATAAAGAATAACAAAAGGGTCCAGAATGTTCTGCAGAATCACCTGAAAAGTGTTGAATTTCCCAAAGATGCTGGGAATGTTTGGTTTGTTAGAAGTGTTGCATCATAAGACAATGTTCCTCTTCCTCTGACTTTGGTTGGCGTTTTCTTTTTTCTTTTTTAATTTCCAAATAAACAGCGGTTATTTCATGTGGTGCGTACCATCTAGGAGAGGTTTGAAGCTAAATCTGACATTTTGTTTCAGACATCGACAACGTTAACACCAACACTTTGTGGGTTGTTTCCCCGGTCTCTGAGAACTGAAATAAATGATATAAATATTAATCCAAATCTCTTTCCAACAGCCTCATCCGGTGTTGGGAATAAACCCTGGAATATCCAGGTGTAAACTGGAAACAGGGGGAAAAAAAAAAAAATCATGCAAATTCCACCCAGAAGAATTTTTTTATCCAAGGCCGGGACACGATCCTGTCACACTTTTCCTTAAGCTACGCAAATGTTGCCAACAGTGGATCAGATTAAATCAGACAGCAGGCGGTACGATCTTTCCAGCCATGTCAGACCTAAAAATACACAGCAGCCAAAATAAATAAATAAATAAATAAATCAAAGCCAATACGGTCAATACAGCAGCAGCTCCATGACCCTCTGCAGTCGGACTCTAAATTTGTCACAGCCCAGATCAGAGAGGAAGACTGCTGCTGCTGCTGCTGCTGCTGCTGCTAATGCTGCTGCTGCTGCTGCTGCTGCTGTCTAGCCATGTGGCAAACCCCGAGAATGTTGCTAAGATTTTCAACAACTGTTGGAACATTGCTCGGGCGACACGGCCACAGACCGAGTGGAACCACGACAACGGCTGAGATGAAGGCCACGAGTCTGAGCCGGAGCCAAGAACTGTACATACATGACAGAAGGAGGAGGAGGAGGAGGAGGAGGAAGAGGAGGAGAACACGGTGCCTGACGCTCCATTAGAACCAGTGGAAAATCATATCACATCACTGCAGATACAAGAAGTGCTGCAGAATTCTAGAACACTGGTCCAGTTACTTAACATCAGGAGGAGGATGTTGGTTCTAACCTACATGTAATTAGATACTATATCAAATCCCATTATAATAATAATATAATTAATATTTATATAATATGATATAATATAAATATAAGTTTTGCTCTTCTCTTGTAATTTTTCTATTATTTTTAATTATTTATTTTTTTCTTTCCATTTATCGTAAGTGAATACATTTTATATTCAAGCATCTTATTTAAATTTATTTTTTGTTAAAATCAAAATAATTTGAAACAAATGTCCTGAGATTTCAGTTGCTTTGGTGAATTTTAACCGACTCATTTTGATTAAGTGAAACTGTAATGCGATCATTTGATTCAGTAGAAATTAGGGTCAGTTTTGGCCAAATGTAGTTAAAACATAAAAAAATATATATGTTGATAAGAACTCACTCACCAAATCCAATCGAAGGTCACGGTCCTGGCAGCACCACGAAGACTAAAACAAACGAAGAAAAGAAGAAACTCAGTGAGGAACAGGTGACAGGAAGTGGACACAGGTGGAACTAACGAGGGCGGGGGAACGTAATCAACCAGGAGACAGGAAGTAAAAATGGGAACATGAGAAATTCTGCTACATAATAAAACAGAAGTGCAACAGGAATTAGGAAAATTTGGAAATTGAAAACAGAAGTAGGTTTTTTTATGTTGTTGTTGTTTTTCAATACTTTCCCTATTTGTATAAATATAAAAATAAATATTATTATTTTAGTAATAATGAATAATGATAATATGAACATATATAATAAATATTATTTTAGTAATAATGAATTGGACTGTATGCTAATATGAACAAAAAAAAACATCCATTTAGAATAAAAACGATCTCCAGTCCCCATTATTATTTTTCAAATCATCAAAATGACATCCCAGACTTTGGGAACAGGTTTTCTCGGGTCATTATCCCAGAACTGAATCCTTTGTGAATTCCTGGTCACTGCTGGTCAAACTGATTCCGCTCCAGTTCTCACTGTAAACAAATCTGCTCACATTTATTTTCCAGTCTCTCTAGTGGAGGATGACAGGACGTTGGGTGTGAGTCTGTAGAATTATGCAGTGGGACAGAGCCAGGTCATGTGACCGATGTCGTCTTTGACCAAGTCTGAATTCACCGAGCTGCCGGTTCATGCTGTGAAGCCGGTTGGTCAGTGTAGTTTCTGACCATCTGTTACTACAGTAATAAATCCAACATGGATTTCTGTGCGTGTGCAGTTACAAGAACAGACAACGATTGTTGCCGCGTGAGCTCCGTGTTGACTGTACGTCCGACGGCAGCAGTAAAACTTCACACCTTTGAAATCTATGAATCATCAGTGATGTGTGGGCGGGTGAAGAGGCCGTGTGTCACAGGACCTGGTCAGATGTTCATTCAAACCACTTTAGAACTCAAATATCAAAAGTACAGTCATTTTATTCTAAAGATCTTTCAAACGTCCCGAGGCGATAGAGACAAACAGTCACAGCTGGAGCTGCGTGATACCAGAGATAAATCACAGGTCGCCCTTTAATCTGACTCTACAGCCTTTTAAACAGCCGCTGACCAACCAACGCCGGGGATGAAGACCAGTCACCACTCGGAGAAAAGCGGGGTTTTACCAAAGATCTACAGGAGACAATAGCTGAAAGTGATCTCCTCTGGAGTCGGTGACGATCCAGGCCTGCAGCTCATCACTCAGAGCGTCAGGCCTTTTGTCTACGGCAGCCTGCAGGCTCACTCTGATGGAGTTTCAGTGAGAATCAAAGCTCAGAGTTCTACCAGGGGACACGGGGACGGATCTGCCTTTGGTCTTCGCTGGGAGATCTTTGGAAAAGGCACAGATTTAGTTACGCAGATCAAACGGCGAACTGTTTCTGTTTGAAAGCACAAACACGCGTACGAATGCCTGTTACTTAGCATCTGATTCCACGCCACGGGTCTGGGCATTTAATAACGTCGTAGCACCCCGATAAGTATGTGTATTAATGACATATATATATATATATATGTTTTTATAGTTTTAATAAAGGATGGCATTTGTTTTTGTGTCTTTGTACATAATTGATCACAAGGTAGCTGTGGATTAACCATGATTAATTGTGATCAAATCAATAACAATGAATCACGATTAATTGAGATACATTCAAAATGTCTTAAATATCACAAAAATGCTAAATTCATATGTATGGAAAACCCAGGGATTGCGTTTCGCCAAATGGTGTGTTCGTTGAAAATAGTTTTGGGGAAAAATGACTGTATATAGAAAGTGAAAGTCACTAGATGGCAGCATTGCAGCTCATTTTATTAATCTATTTTAATAATTATATATATATATAATAAACAGATAAACAAATAAATATTACCAGGCCTATATCGGTATTTGTTGATATCGGAAATGGAAATTAAGTGTTTGGAAAATATCGGCATATTCCTAATATAAAACTAAATATATATATATATATATATATATATCATTGACAGACACACCCAGACCCCGGTGTACACACACCACCCACACACACCACCCACACACATACACCTCCGTATCAAAGAGCCCTTCTTGAAGCTTTGCATAGCAAACAGGTGCTGGATTAAATCAGCAGGGCAGAGACAAAAGCTCAGTGTCTGTTACTTGGCCCTGAACCACAGCAGAGGAGTCACAGTCTGAAAGGATGAAACCAGGCTCATGTTTAAAAGCCAGCAGAGTTGAAAGGCACGTGTGAAGGCCAAAATAAAGACTAATTAATCCATTATCTACCCGCTGACTGTGGGCCAACTGACTCAGACCCACTCCGGTTAAAAAAGAAAAAAGGTTATTTCCAATGACTGCTGCAGCGAGGTGTTGATTACAACATCAGATTAGCACAGATGATGGCTGTATAAACACTGGGAGGACAAAAATGGGTTGTTGTTTTTTTTTTTTTTTAAGGAACTTCTGGGTTTATCGTACATATCATTAACTTTATGGCTAACTTTTCCTTTTTCCTTAAACTAACCTTTAGCTTATTTGAATGTTGACTGGCTTCTTTTTGTTTGTCTGTATTTTCTTTCATTTCTGGGCTAGCTTAATATTTAGCTTATTTGAATGTTGACTGGCTTCCTTTTGTTTGTCTGCATTTTCTTTAATTTCTGGGCTAGCCTAATATTAGCTAACAATTTGATTACATGACCATGACCTACATGGTCATGTAATCAAATTTTTAGGTAATATCGTGACTAATTTCAAGTTATCTCATAAAGCTGGCCGCGACGATTGTTAATGTGCTAACTATAAAATCTAAAATATGGATAAAAAAAATAAAAACTCCACCTGTAGATAAGGGTCTGGAAATGAAGTTTAAATTCCAGACCTGTCGTCGGGTTTTAGTGCTTGGAGTAAACACAGTCGGGGTTTTTTTTTTTTACAACTTTGTTTTTCTGATTCACTGTTGTGATTTATTCCTGAGCTGGAGGAAACGTCTCTACGGTGTGATGGTAAATATTGCCTCGAGCCTTTGAAGGAAACCAAAAGAGAAAACCAACAACAGAGTCACGGTCGGGACATGTCTGCACCTGCGCAGCTGCACGACTAATACTGCAGGTCTGCGTTGACAACACAGTGTACTGTACACTTAGGAACGGGGCCCCAACAGCTGAGAACTGGAGAAGCACTCAGTGAAAATACACAATAATTTCTACTATTTTTTTTTTTGTGCCAAATGATTTTCTGTCAAGGTCACTGTCATCCTGAGAGCAGACATTCAGACTGGTGCGTCTGCTTCCTCCTCCCCTGCCTCCTGTCATCACTGTCCTCTGTGTGTGTCAAGGCCTCACTCAACTCATCGATCAACAGAACAACAGACATTTTCTGGGAGTCCTAAAATCTACAGGAGTTTGTTTGAATGTTTCAGACCTCAAGATCTGATCTTGTAATTGTACACACAAAAACAAACAATAAACAAGGCAGCCAGAGAATAACAACAACAACAACAACGTCAAATTATTAGTAGCAATCTAACTAAAAGAGACATGGAGGCAGATCATTCCCAAAAGCTTCAAATTAAATCATCATCTCTTCATAATTACACCATATAGCCGTGTAGTTCCCCTGCTGCCCCTTGTGGAGAATGTTGAGTTGTTTCAAAGTAGCCAAAACAGTACAGCTAACAGCTTAATATGCTGATGTTTTACTAAAAATAATGAAGTTAAAATGATGTTAGCTTAAAATAGCTATAAGTTGGCCAAGTTGGTTATTCAAGAGTTGTGATGTTCCACCACTGCCCCTAGTGGAAAGTGTGTCCCTTTATATCGTTAACAGGTAGCAATAAGGTAATTGGAATCATGCTTTACGAAATTGTGCCAAAACACAAAATACTGTAAAAGTAAGCGAATCACTCACCAAAAAGCGTTTCTTATATTCCAATTAGCCCAGGGACGCCAAAACTCCAGCGAGAAAACCTAAAAGTAAACCAAAAGTAGCGTGTAAGCTTATACGTAAGAGTGTTAGCTTGTATGCTAAACAGACAAATGAGGATCTCAGCAATTTAGCTAAAGTGGGGAGTCCTAAATATAAGTTATAAAAGCTAAAAAAAAATAAATGTAGCAACAGTTAGCACAGTTACAATTTAGCCGAAACGCTCTGCTAAAACATTTATCAGACTCCCTACAAGCCGTCAGTTTATACTGCAGGCAGATTACACAGCAGACTGCAGTGACAGATGTCATATATTGATGGATAGGGTTCCCCCTAGTGGTCTCCTGAACTCACCTCCTGTCAACCATCTGCAGTTTTTTCCTCGTCAAACCAGCAGATTGGCGGCTTCCTGTTTTTGTTTAAGAATTTATGAAAGCTCAGTGGCTCCTGGGTAATTTGTCAGAAGAGCACAGTGAAACACACAGAAAAGTGAAGTGTTATTAAGCTCTGAAATCGGACAACTGGCTTTCCCTGACGGCAGAGAAGAGACCGGATGTTAGCTTCAGCTAGTCATCTCCTTGCTTTGTTTAGCTATTGTTGGCTAACTCTTTTTTAGCTTTTTCATTTAGCCCCCCGCCCCCCGTCTCTTTCTTATTTATTTATTTTTTCAAATAAATAAATGTAATTATTGGAACGTATTTTACTCACTGTAAGATATCACTGTCTTATTATTATTTCACCTATTATTTTACAATTAGCGATTGTAACAGTTTTGTTTGAGTTTGTTGACTGCTTTGTTTGTTTGTTTAATTTATTTTAACCTGTCTTTTGTTTTTGACTACTTTTTTGTTTGTTTGCTTAAGTTGATTTTAGCTAAAAAAATATATTTTCATTTTTTTCAGACCAACCGTGTGAGTTGATGAACTGGTTAATATGTCGATGACCTGTTGATGAAGTAACTAAACTCTGGTTCTTCATTAAATGTCGCTCAAAACCCTTCCGACCAGCAGATGGCAGAGCAACACTGCCATCTACTGTAACATTTGGGGGAAAACGTCTGAGTCCAAGTATTACTGCTAAACAGCAAAAAAAGAAGAAAAATCAATTAGTTGGTTGAAATAAAAACCTTCTGATGAAGGTATTTTACACTCACACTATAAGCCACGTGGAAAAAGTCTATGTTTTTAAAATGTATCATTTATTTTAGGAAAGAAATGAAACAATCATTTTACTTTAATCATTTCCCTTTTGAATAGCAGAATGGCAGTGATGCTGCAGGACCCCCTCCCTCCCTCCAAACAACACCCCCTCTTTTACCCTAACATAAAGAGCAGATCAGAGAGAAACAAATGTTCTTTTTTTTTCAGGGGATGTGTGTGTTTTATTTTCATGTTTCCAGCCTTTCACAGACCTCATCTATCTTCCATCTCCTCTCAGCACAACAGCACCGAGGAGAGGAATGGAAACAAACACATTATTCCTGCCTGGAAACAGGAATAATCTGCTGGCTTTGAAGAGATGGAAGGTTCAATTCCATTCCATTCGTATGATGACACAGAAAGAAAAAAAAAGAGGGGGAGGGGGGAATCATGTTTATCCCACTATCCATCCATCCAAACATCCGTCTATCTGGCCATCCATCTGTCTCCAAATCCATCTTGTTTTCTTGGCCTAATTTGCCTGTTATTAAAAAAAGACTAACTGAATCAAGTGACACCTACAATCAGCCAAAAACTCAAAACGACATCTAGAACTGATAACAATACAAATTATTCAAAAATACAGCATAATCATTACAAATATAAAAAGCCACATTTAACCCAAAGTTAGCCTTCAGTTGGACAATAGCCCAAAGTTAGCTTTAGCATCTCATGCTAATGACGTGACTCTATTTTAAGGCTGTTGAAAAGACTGTTGTAAAAAACCAAAACAAACAATTTTAGCTAAGCAGCAGACGGAGATGCTGGTCTGACATCAGCCCTTGTGGATGCCAAATATTTTTTTTTATTATTATTAAAAAAAAATCATGAGTAGTGACACTCACATCTCCAGCTCTTCACAAAATCATAGATGAGAGAGATTTTAAGACACGAGTCCTGCCCGGAGACAGGAATAACACGACGGCTTTGAAGAGTAACAAAAATGTTTGCTAAAATCACCGAGCATTTTAACATGAATTAACCATGAGGTTTTTATGACTATTTTTATTACATCCTTATTACACAAACAGCACTGGAGTACAGCTACTCTCCATTAGCGTATTCTTTAGGACAATATACTTCACTTTCTCCCTGTTTCTGCAGATCTATGTATAAAAACAAGTGAAGAAGGGGAAGAAGAACTGAGTGTTTTCTGTCTTCCTCTCTCAGTGGGTGAGAGCTGCAGCTCTGTCATGTTCAACCATTGCTCTCTCTCTCTCTCTCTCTCTTTTAATGTGAATCCTGGGTGAATAGCGCCTCTATGAGGAGGCAGCGCCTGAGCTGAGGAGCAATGGAAGGAATCCATAATAACACATGATGCAGCAACGCTGCCACAGGAGGAGAAGTAATGGAACTACACGACCGCTTCATCATCGGTTTCCTTCATAAACTACTCACTCATGTCGCGACGCCGTCCAAAACCACGGCCTGGGGGGCAATCGTTGCACTTTTGATGTGTCTGTGTGGCCTGAAGCTAATTTATTAACATTATTCTTAATCAGCAGCAACAGGTTTGATCATGTGTTACTGCATTAATCGCAACAGGTTTGATCGTGTGTTACTGCACATGGTGGCTGTGGAGTTTAAGAGTTGAATTAATTTTATAATAATATTTTGGTCAAATTTTAGCTAAAAGTTAACAGAATAGAGACATGTGCATTAACTATCATCTAAAAGAAAACTAAATGTTTGATTATGATTGCTATTAAAAATTAAATCATCCTAAGGATAATTACCTCGGTGATAGCCGAGAAGAGCTAGCCGAGCTAGCCGTAAATACAACCATATGAGCTAGAACTTTTCCCCGATAATGAAAACCTCGATAACGCGATGCCTTGTGTTTTTTTCCAGTGATGTGTGCCCTGAAAATAGTTTTGGGGATAAACGGCTGTATATTAACGTGAAAGTCACTAGATGGCAGCATTGCAGCTCATTTAATTAATCTCATACTCATACAGCGGTTTGTTCAGATAAATAAATAAATATTACCAGGCCTATATCAGTATCGGTTGATAGTGATCGCAATCTGTAATTTTAATTTTCTTAATTTTCTTAATCTTACGGTTACAGTCGGTGAGTTTGGAGCAAAAATGGTCAGAACATTGCGGGGGGGGGGGGGGGGGGGGGGGGGGGGGGGGTCACAGGTACCAATCTGAGTATTGTGAATATTCTGAGTTTTGGTTTGGTGCTGCGCCGGTACAGTCGCTCCCAGGCTCCTGTGTAAATCTGTTCAGTCGGCTGCATCGTTGCCGTGGTAAAGCCACAGAGGTTCAGTGTTTTCAATTACAGATTGTATTAGTGATAGCTGCTCTCAGGTCCTCCGTGGTGACATCACTGGTTACCAGTTGACTGAGGTAGAGTCCTGTACACAGGACACACACTCTGAGTGCAGGGTGTGTGTCCATACTGTAACGATAGGACGTATGACTGGAGTTCAACCACAGGAGTCACCAATCATGTTGGTCGACGCCTTGGGGGTCGGATATTCAAATGAAAGGTTTATTTTTGAATAAACCAATCACAATTCGGATTGGACCGTTTCAGCTGGCCAGGGTTTGGCCCTGTTTGTCCACTTCCTGTTTCCTGTCATGAAGCAGGAAGTAGTAACAGCTTCCTGGTTCATGATCTAATCTACATGAGGGTGTATCAGGTGTCTGGTCAGCTCCAATCACGTCATCACGATGGTCTTCACTCACTGGACAGAACCCCTGACCTCAGAGGTCAAACTGAACCGTACGACATCCAGAGCGACGCCACGGAGTCGGAGACTTTTCCATCTTATCTTTCTTTCCTACCTCCTCATTCTCCGCCTTGAATTTATTTCCACTGAAATGTTTCTGTCTTCAACAGCTTTCCTCCCCTTTTTTTATCTCTCTGCTTTATGCTCCTATTTCTCTGTATCTTTCCTGCCTCCCCCCTCCACCTCCCTCTCCTCCCCTTGACTGTCCTTCTTTCTCCGTCCTCTTTTTTTTTTTCCTCCCTTTTCCTTTGGCTGCTTTCCATTCTGTTTTCTTTCATTGTTTTTCTTTTCTTTCTCGCCCAGGGAGCCTAGTTTTTCTCTCCCCCCCTCCCTCCCTCCCTCCCTCCTCCCCCTCTGTCTCTCTTCCTCTATTCAGGTTTTTCTCTATTCTCTTTTCTGAATAGTTGTGGTACTTTAAGGGGAAGGAAGGGGGAGACGAGGGGAGGGAAGTAGAGAGAGGTTAGTTTCAGTCAGTCAGAGCTGCAGAACAAAACTTCCTCCCACACCACAGGCAGTGTCTCCGGGAATGAGTGTGTCACCGACTCCACGACCCCCCCGTCCCCCGTCCCCCCCTCTGATGAGCACCACCGTGGAGGACAACCCTACAGTCAGTTGGTCCAGGTCCAGGAGACGTGAACCTCGTCCTCTGGGAGACGTCGTTCCACTGCGGTGGTGACACATGACGGTGTGTTTAAGACCATCACCACTCTGTATGTGTGTGTGTGTAAATGAGATTATCTCCCAACTGGGGGTACGTGGGGGGTGAGTGGGGGAGTGGGGGGGGCATCTGTGCTTCACAGGAACATCTTCATCATGGCAGGGACATGACAGCGTACCTTACAGGAGGGAGCCCCACGTGGAGGAGGAGCAGCTTCACTCTCAGAGGCTTTAACCTCAGATAAGCAGCTGAGTGTCCCGTACTAAATGTAAACCTGAAGCTCATGTAGAGACCGGGACAGAGTGACCCCAAAAGAGGGTCAGAAAAAAAACACAAAAAACTTCACTAGGTTTAAAGTTGCACAGGTCAAAGGTCAGATGTGATGACATCAAACTAAAAAAAATAAAAAAGAATCAAGACAAAATTATAAAGAGTCAAGAAAAAGTATTTTTCTACTTCTTTTGCGCTGATACACATTTTTAACCAAATTAAATGCATTTAGTACAGATTTGCCCCGGGGCAAATGTTAGGCCTCGTGGCAAATAACAACCTCCAAAAGTCGAGTCTGGTCCAAGTCCAGCCAAGTCTAGTCTTTTTCTAGTCCAGTCCGGTCACCCTTGGACTGCTCTTTTCTGGAGATAACATTTAGGGTCGTTTCCATGTTTTGAAATCGAGGGAAGAATTCTCGCTCTGGTGCGTCTGTGTTTTCAGGTCTTTGTCTCTCAGTGTTGAGGCCATGAACAGGAGAAAAGTTTATTTATTTCTTTATTCACAGATGTTTAACAAATGTTGTGAACCTGACTGATGAGGTCACTGCTGAGTCATTTTTCACATTCATTTATTCAGAAAATTGACCAAAATACATTTTTAAAAATCAGCATTTTTAATCAAAGTTTTTTAAATTTTTTTTTTCCCCCAGTCCCAGAAATGTGATCATTTTAGCAAAGATTTCGCCGGAGGCCTTGTAGTTCACACACTCTGTTTGTTTGTTTAATCCGATACACATTT